GCTGGGGGGGTCCAGCTGATCAGGACTGGGCAAGATGGGCTGGACACGCCCTGGAGCCCTCCTGCAGTCCCTCCCAGCCCCAATTGTGTACTGGTGGGATCCCTTGGCCGACTCTCCAACGTCCCTTGAGGGGTCCTGGATGGCGAGAGGGCGCAGGTCAGGCCGAGGGACCTCACCGGTGCACAAATCCAGGCACCGGGCCTCTAATATAATATAAAGATGTACAAGGAAAATATGTTTAACGAAAAGAAAACTGCCTCCTACCCCTCCTGCTACCACACTTCTAGTCTTCCCCCTACCTGTCTCCACCCAGATTATTGTTAACCACCTGGTGTATAGAATTCCATACTGACCTGGAATGTCTTTTTCTTAAATATTCCTATTGTGGTTAGGGCAGTGGTGGCGAACCTATGACACGCGAACTCATTTTTTTGGTTGAGTTTTCTTTGTTAAATGGCATTTAAATATATAAAATAAATATCAAAAATATAAGCCTTTGTTTTACTATGGTTGCAAATATCAAAAAATTTCTATATGTGACACGGCACCAGAGTTAAGTTAGGGTTTTTCAAAATGCTGACACGCCGAGCTCAAAAGGTTCGCCATCACTGGGTAAGGGTCATGAACTTCCAGGCTGTCTGGGTTCCAATCCTACCTCTACTACTTAACTAGCTGCCTCAATTTTCCCATCTTGAAAAGGCAACATTGATAGTGCCAACCTCGTAGAGTTCTGGGATAAATATTAGGAAAGTGCTTAGAATAGAGCTGGACACAATGTTTTATACATGTTAGAAATATTTAAAAGTTGCCTGGCTGGTGTGGCTCAGTGGTTGAGCATTGACTTATGAGCCAGGGATCACAGTTTGATTCCTGGTCAGGGCACAGGCCTAGGTTGCAGACTCGATCCCCAGTAGGGGGCATGCAGGAGGCAGCCAAGCAATGATTCTCTCTAATCATTGATGTCTCTATCTCTCTCCTTTCCTCTCTGAAATCAATCAAAATATATTAAAAATGTTTAAAACTTGCTTAAATGTAGTAGAATTGGTTAGTTGAGGTTGTAGTTTTTGATGGTGATCATAACGTTATGGTGGTGAAAAGATTTTCCCATTAAATTGGGTTCTTGGCTCTTGTCACTGGGACTTGGTTTTTAGACCAACTAACCAAATGACCGGTTTAAGAAAGGAGGAGGAGACCCTGACTTAAAAGAATAGTTAGTTCCTTGCTGGCTGTATTTCTGTTTAACTTCTTTATTGTCAAAATGTTCACTTCTGTCCAATTCCCATGTACTCATCCTCTCGTTCCAACAGTTTGCCATTGTTCTCTCCCACATGCTGGCCTTACCGCTTACTGTGGCCCTGGCCAGGTCTGAAGTAAGCTTCCCAGAGCCTCCCCAGATCTGGAGATCCCCCTGGTCTGTCCTATAATTTCTGGCTTATCAGCCTAGAGGATCAGGTTGCCAGGAAAGGTAATGACCCTTAATGAGCACCTAGAAATTCAGGTTGGGGCTGCCTGGTGGCCACACTTCTGCTGTCACTTCCCTAAGGGTGAGACTGCGTCACCATTAAGATGAGACGCCCCAAAGCAGGTTAAACGCCTTGCATCAAGTTATGTGCAAAGCCGTTTTCATTTTTTCAGGCCGCCACCCTTGGCAAGTCCAATCATGCTTGTCCCAACTTTCGCTACCCAGACTGGAGCTGGCTGGCTGAAGGAATGCAGTGTGATAAACCAAGGCAGTCTTGTTCCCTGGTGATGTGACAAGCCCCCACACAGTCCAGTTGCCCCAGTATTTCTGTTGGAGGGAACTGGGGGAAGGGTTATTTGAAAAATATCTTGTTTTGCTAGTTTAAAAAGGAATTTCTGTTTTAGACTTACAGGAAGGTGTCTGCCCATCCTTAGAAAGACTTTGCATTTTTGCCCTTCCTGGTGTTGCTCAGTTGGTTGGGCGTTAGTCCGTGCACCAAAAGGTTGCTGGTTCGATCCCCAGGCTGTGGGCTTAATCCCTGGCAGGAGGTGTGCAGGCGGCAGCCAATTGGTGTTTTCCTCTCACATCCATGTTTCTCTCCTTCTTCCTTCCCTTTTCTCTAAAAATCAGTAAAATATCTTTAAAAAAAACGATTTAAAAAAAAAAGACTTTTCGCCCTGACTGGTTTGGCTTAGCGGATAGAGCATAGGCCTGCGGACTCAAGGGTCCCAGGTTCGATTCCAGTCAAGGGCATGTACCTTGGTTGCGGGCACATCCCCATTAGGGGGCGTGCAAGAGGCAGCTGATCGATGTTTCTAACTCTCTATCCCCCTCCCCTCCTCTCTGTAAAAATCAATAAAATATGTTTAAAAAAAAAAAAGACTTTGTTTTTCTTCTTGGCTTCTGTTGTTATTTTAGGGTTCATCTGTCCAAGTATTTAGCAAATACTTGTCTTCTAGCTTGTATGCAAAGAAATACAAATCTCCTTTGACTTGCATTGTCCTTTTGCTTTCAAAATGTGATTCACATCCGCTGGCATGGCTCATCTTCACAAAACCCTGAAGAGGTAGGCTTGGTCAGTGGTGGTATTCCTCGTGTTCCAGTGGGAAAAACCGAGGCGCAGGGAGGGTGAGCATTTTGTTTGCTGAGGCCACTCACTCCGCAAGAACATGGCAGAACTTGGGTTTATAATCCAGCCAAGAATCAGACCAGCCCTTTCTTCATGTCGCCATCCCCCCTCTGCCCTTCCTGTCATTTATTGCAGCCTTATTTGCCAGGTAGTAGACTCCCAACTACTGCAGAGGTTGGCCTCAGATTTCTGTCGTCCCTGGATTCTAGCTATGGGGCAAAATCATCCTTTAAAAATAGCTAAGGCCCCAAGCAAAACGTTCTCTCCAGGGTGAGGGAGTGCCAACCATGAGACATCAAGCGGAGGGGTAGTCCCAGCTCCACTGTGAAGTAGTCATAGGATGTCAGGTAAATTTCTTAACCTCTCTGAGTCTCACTTTCTTCATCTTCAGAATGGGGGGTAGGGGGGCAGGTATCGTGGTACTTACCCTCCCACCCCCAAACATGGTTTTACTTTCTCCGGCAAGGGTGGGGCTGTTGGCTTCAAAAACATTTGCAAGGGTGGCCCCTTGGTGGAAGAAGTGAAAACTGCAGCTCAGGCGTCACGGTGGCTTTAGGGCTTTCTGGCAGAGACCTGGTCCTCATGAATGGAGAGGTGTCTAGTTGTGTAAAATGGGCACAAACGCAGGAATTTAATAAAAGGTCACTTAGACACAATAGAAATTCCAGTGGAGGAATGAGGGGCAATTATCTGAAGGGGAGGAAAACAGGCCAGCTTGAGTTTCCCAGAACGAACTGTTTGAACTGTTTTATCTACCGTTCCCTCTGCCTGGAAGGCTCTTGAGCCGTGTTTTCTGCAAGAACTCTTTGTTTGGGGCCTTAGCTATTTTTAAAGGATGATTTTGCCCCGTAGCTAGAATCCAGGGATGATAGAAATCTGGTTCCTTTAGGCCTCAGCTCGGATGCCTCCGCCTCTGAGAGGTCTGCCCTCACCATCCAATATAAGTTGTGCTTTTCCCAAACCTCCCTGCCTGGCTGTCATTCTTGTAGCACCCTCTTTAATTCCTTTATAGCCACCGGCATTGATCACTATCTGCGATTTTTGGTTTTGGTATTTGTCCATCTCCTCCACAATTGATAAGCTCAATGAGAGCAGGTGTCTTGTCTGTCGTATTCACAGTTGGTGGGGACCTGATGAATGAGTCCCTTGCAACTCTGAGGTTTAGTGAGGTTTTCACCACAGCTCCTCCACTTTTGAGCATTAATACCTTCATAACTAAAGTTTTTAAATAATTTAAAAAAATTCTCACCTGAGGATATGTTTATTGATTTGAAAGGGAGAGAGAAACATTGATATGAGAGAAAAAACATCGATCGGTTGCCTCCCGGACATACCCTAACCGGCAATCTAACCTGAAACCTAGGTATGTATCTTGACTGGGAATTGAATCCACAACCCTTTTTGGTCTATGGGATGATGCTCCAGTCAATGGAGCCACCCAGCCAGGGCAACTACATTTTTAAAAAACGAGTTTTGTCTTTAAGCAGTTGGTCGTAAATTCCCTCACCCAAGTTGTCTTTTGCCTTTTGCATTGGACTTGCCTCCCTGGATGATCAGGTC